TATCTTAGTAATTTATGATTAACATAAATTTTAATGATGAAAGAATTTAACTATATATCCTCATTAAATAACAAAAGAAAGAAGAAGAAAATTTAATTATATTATAAATAATTATAATTTATTTAAATAATATATACATAATAAAATCAACCTAATTATGCTAAACATTTTACATTTTTAATTTAAACGTAATTTTTTAAATTATATGATAATATTTGATATTCCTGATATCATTTATTAAAGGAAATAAAGAATATACATATATAAAATAGTAAAGATATGCATTCTCTAAATTAAAATGAATTGATACATAAAATTGATGTGTTTTAAAAATGTATGTTAAACAGTAAAAACTTGTATCAATCTCTTTTACATACTTGCTATGCATATCAATTTTTTTGATATAAAATTATTTTTTTAAATATTTTATTATATACAGCATTTTTTTACGCTTTTTAGAGAACCATTTCTTTGCCGTATTTAATGATGCATATAACAATATACATTTATTGTTTTTGTTTCTTACATGTACGTAGCTGATACGAGGTTTCTATTATATGTTGATATCAAGGGCGTATGCATAACTGAGGGCGGTGCTGTATTGAGCATTTGTCACGTTTGTCGTCTCTGCTAACCCTCTTTCGACATTTTGCATTTAATGGATCCTTCTCTAACTTTTGCATATAATTTTTATTTGTTAGTAGTAACGGGTTACTTCATATGAAAGTGATATCGATCTGTAGTGTGACATAACTGAGGAAGGTTTCAGCTATACAAAGACGAAGTAAAATGCTTACACATGTTATCCAAAAAAATAAAATAAAAAATGCTTACTCAAAACTTTGTGTTATGGACCAGGAATAGACCCATGATCAGTAAGGCCCACAATCAGCGCAGGCCCACAGGTAAGCATTATAAATAGGAGCTGGACGCTACAGGTATAACCTAATCTCTTTTGACTGATACGCACAACAAGACAGTACACACACACCTCTTCCAAGGCTAAGGCCATTAGATAATGTGTGATCTGCTGTCCTCAAGATACCTAACTCATAGATATCCAGAGAAGACACCTGGATCATAGATCAATCATCCAATCCCAATTGGACACATCTGCTTAAGGCAGAACATTGGCGCCGTCTGTGGGAAGCTTTTCCACGGCAAACGTTGTGAAAGTCAGCAAAATCGATGGTGAGAACTACGAGGAGTGGTCTCCGTCAGCCCACCGTATCAAACCTCCAGGTTCCTCCTTCTGTTAGGGAGGGTCCCGCGGAGTCAAGGCAGCAGATGCCGCAAATCCCAGATTCAGATGCGGTGCACGTTAGTGACGTGCATTCAGATTCAGCATCAACTCCTGCGGTCAACCCAAATGCCTCGTACCTCTCAGGGTTGCAACCAATTGAGGACGCAACGGCAGAAGCCCCGGATCCACAGGTGACGAATTTAGCTATAGAGGTTGTGCTTCGAAGGAGGGAGGAATTGGAACAGCGTAATGAGCTGCAACGGCAAGCGGATGCAAGACAGATCCAAGATTTGGAGGATCGGCTGTGGCGCGCAACAAACCCAGATCCCGAGCGGGCCATCGCGCAGGTGGTGACGGATCTGCAAACTGCGAACCCCCAGCAGGGCACTCAGGAACGCTCCCACCGTCCTGCAAGGGCTAATGCTGGACGCGGGTGCATGCCACAAACCCTAGTTCACCCCGGTTCACGCCAACAGCCACGGAACCCTATGGGCCCGGGACACGCTGAACACAATCAGCAACCCCGGCGCGCGCCAGACCCGCAGCGACTTGCCGAGATCCACCGTCAGGGGCCCATCGCTCGGGCTCCAGATGACGTAACCGGGGTGTACCGAAGAAAATACAACAGGGGGCAGTACAATGACAGTCCCTTCGCTGATGAGATCATGCAAGGCCCATACCCGAAAAATCTAAATTTATCCGAGTTGATTAAGTATGACGGAACACAGGATCCACAGGTACACTTGGATGCCTTTGATACAGCTATGTACATCAAAGGGATAGAGGAACCCTTGATCACAAGGCTTTTTGCAACTACATTAACTGGTGCGGCCCAGGCGTGGTTTTCGTCATTACCGGCGGGATCTATCAAATCCTTTGAGGAGTTTGGTGGGCGCTTCTTACTAAATTTCGCCACCAGTAAGAAGCAGCCGAAGTCAGAATTCGCATTGGGAAAAATTAAGCAGCAGCCAGGGGAGACATTACAGAAGTACTTGGATCGGTTCAAGTTATCCGCGCTCCAAGTACCCGGGTTTCCAGAAAACGTTCATTTACACCTGGTGATAGCCGGGCTACACGGAACATCCCGGTTAGCTAAATCAATATATAAGGATCCGCCTCGGACCTTAGTTGAGTTCAATACACGTTCCAAAAAATACCTGGAGCTCGAGCAGATGGAGTGGGAAAATGTGGACCAAAGGCAACAGCCTGATCAGGGAGAAAAGCTCGGGGGCCGACGGATAAATGACCTTCGAGGAAAATGACAGGACGATAGGCAGCAAGCCAAGGGAAGGTTTGATAAATATGCCCTCCTGAATTCTCCTCGGTCGCAAATATGGCACGAAGTCGCGTTCACCGATATGAAGAAAGTCGAGCGACCTCGGCCATTACAAAACCAGGCTGGTTTGGATCGAACCCGGTACTGCACATTTCACGGCGGTCCGGGTCATACAACAGATGAATGTTGGGATCTCAGAGATGTAATTGAGAAATACATTAGAGAGGGGAAGTTGCGGCAGTATTTGATCCGTACGCAAGGATGGAGGAATAGGAAGAGAAGAGGAGGGCGGCTAGGAAGCCCGCCCAAGGAAAGGAAGTTTAAAGAAGAGGGACGAGGTAAGAAGCCGATTAAAGAAGACGACGAGTTCCAAGAGCCGGAGTTCGAATGCAACGTGATCAGTGGAGCTTTTGGCGGTGGTGGCGACACCATGAACGCACGACGTAAATATTTGCGTGAGGTGCTTTCAATTCGAGAGCGCCCTAAGTTCAAGCAGGAAGAGGAACCAGAATAGCCGCTGCTATACTTCACGAAGAAGGAACTCGAGGATGTAGTACCAGGGCATGTTGATGGGTTGGTGATTACAGGAACATTGGTAAATTGCAGAGTTAGGAAGATTTTCCTGGACAATGGAAGTTGTGCCGATATAATTCTGTGGCACGCATTTAAGAAGATGAACTTAGATGAAGAAGATTTGAAGGCTTGCAACACGACTTTAATTGCGTTTAATGGCCATAACACTACTCCCAAGGGGTATATCGATCTTCGATTAACGTTGGGGACTAAGGAGGCATACAAGTCCGAGAGGGTGAGGTTCATTGTAGCCGACTTTCCATCCGAATACAACGTGATTTTAGGAAGACCTATAATTCATGCGTGGGACATGCTAGTCTCAACCAAGCATCAAAAGTTGAAAATGATTGGTAAACAGGGGACGGTACTTACCATAGCTGGGGACCAAAAGGAGTCTCGGGATTGTTATTTCAGATCTGTACAGATGGTGGACCAAGATCCTAAAGACGTAGCTACAGCTAAACAAGGTGGTTACCAACCTTCGAAGCGGAGCTCGGTTAATATGGTGGAATTAGATATGAGAGATGAAACACAGATGCCAAGGCCGGAACCTGACGGCGAGTTAGAGGAGGTAACTGTGGGAGCGCCAAGACAAACAGCGAAGATAGGAAAGGGGTTGACGGATGAGGAGAAAGCTGAGCTGGCCTCTTGTTGAGGAGTTATAATGACATCTTTGCTTGGAAATCTTCAGATATTCCAGGGGTGGATCCAAAGTTCTGCTGTCACAGGTTAGCTGTATATCCCGGCTCAAAGCCGGTAGCGCAGAAGAAGAGGAAGCTCAGCTCAGAGCGTCGACAAGTGCTCGAGGATCACGTGAAAGAACTTCTTGAGGCCGGATTCATCAGGGAGATACAATACACAACTTGGTTGTCAAACGTAGTCATGGTGAAGAAGCCAAATGGAAAGTGGAGGGTATGCACGGATTACACTGACCTAAACAAGGTCTGCCCTAAGGATGCATATCCAATGCCCAACATCGACCAGCTGGTTGATAATTCCTCCGGGTTCCGTGTGCTATCCTTCATGGATGCTTATTCGGGGTATAACCAAATCCCACTGCATCTCGAGGATCAGGAGAAAACTGCTTTTATGACAGAAAAGGCAAATTACTGCTATAATGTGATGCCTTTTGGGCTGAAAAATTCAGGCGCAACGTATCAACGAATGATGAACCAAGTATTCTCGGATCAGTTGGGTAGGAACATTGAGGTGTACATCGATGACATGATAGTGAAGTCGATTGATATGCCAAAACACGTTCGTGACTTAGAGCAGACCTTCGATAAGCTCAGGCAGCATCGTATTAGGTTAAACCCGGCGAAGTGTGCCTTCGGGGTCTTTGCAGGGAAGTTTCTCGGGTTTATGCTCACGCATAGGGGGATAGAAGCGAATCCGGACAAGTGTGGGGCGGTTCTAAGCATGGCAGCGCCAACAAGCAAGAAGGAGATACAACAGTTGACGGGAAGGTTGGCTTCCCTGACGAGGTTCCTACCCCGGTCGACGGAGACAACCCTGCCCTTCTTTAAGCTGCTGAGGAAAGAAGCTCAGTATGGGTGGACCTTGGAATGTGAAGCTGCATTCCAGGAGATAAAGAGGCAACTTGCTTCCCCCCGGTGCTAGCGAAGCCAAGGGAGTTGGAAACTTTAATTTTGTACTTATCCGTTGGAGATGTGGTAGTAAGTTCGGTTCTGGTACAGGAGAATGCTGAGGGTCAACAACCGATATACTTCGTGAGCCGGGTCTTGCAAGGAGCCGAGCTTCGATATCAGCGACTGGAAAAGGTGGCTTTCGCACTTCTGGTCTCGGCAAGGAGGCTCCGAGCGTACTTTCAGGGACATAGGATCCTGGTGAGATCCGACCTTCCGATCCCGAAAAATTCTCCATAAACCGGATTTGGCAGGAAGGATGATGAATTGGGCGGTGGAGTTATCGGAGTTTGACATAACTTTCGAGAACCGTAAGGCGATCAAGTCTCAGGCATTGGCCGACTTTGTCCGCGAGCTCACTCCAGTCCAAACGGCAGAGCCTGCTAGCCTGGATACATGGCATGTATATGTTGACGGGTCCTCTAATGCGAAGGGCAGCAGAGCCGGGGTAATTATTGAAAACCCTGATGGCGACGCAATTGAGTACTCTATGCAAATGGACTTCGATACTTCCAACAACCAGGCTGAATATGAGGCCCTCATAGCCGGGCTGTTGCAAGCACAAGAGCTCGGAGCCCGAAAAGTAAAGGTCTATAGTGATTCTCAGTTGGTCACCTCACAAATTGAGGGAAGTTACCAGGTAAAAGGACCTCTGCTGGCTAAATATCTTGAACGTGCAAGACAGATAATGGAAGACTTCGAAACGGCAGAGGTTAGTCACATTCCTAGAAGTGAGAACAACAGAGCGGACATACTATCCAAGTTGGCAAGTACAAAGGGGTGGGGAAACCACCGGACCGTGATTGAGCAAAGTATCCCGGCCCCGACGTGCATCATGCAAATGGAACTTTGCCTGTTGAGAAAGCAGAGGCTAAGAAGCTAATCCGAGATGCGGCGTCATACACCGTGATAAAGGGGCAACTTTATAAGAAAGGTATTTTCACCCCCCTATTAAAATGTCTAAACCCGGGTAGGGCCCAGTATGTTCTAGCGGAAATCCATGAGGGAATCAATGGACAACATGTCGGGGGTAAGGCGTTGGCCCGGAAGGCTCTCCGAGCTGGATACTTTTGGCCGTCCATGGTCTATGATGCGAAGGAGCATGTACAGAAGTGCGATCAATGTCAGAGGCATGGCAGGAACCTGTTGGCTCCCCCTGAGGAGTTGAGTATAATCACGGCTCCCTGGCCGTTTTACAAATGGGGAATGGATCTCTTGGGTCCATTCGCAACAGTTGAAGGCCAGCTTAAATGGTTAGTGGTGGCAGTGGACTATTTCACAAAATGGGTTGAAGCGGAGCCAGTCGCAACCATCACTTCGGCTCGGATTCAGCGATTTTTTGAGAGGAATATAATATGTCGGTTTGGGATTCCGGCCGAGGTGGTAACCGATAACGGGACCCAATTCGCAAGCAAAGGGTTTCAGAACTTGATGAAGAATTTCCACATCCGGCATCGCTTTGCCTCGGTTGAACACCCTTAAACAAATGGCCAAGCAGAGGCTGCAAACAAAGTAATCGTGGAAGGACTTCGAAGGCGCATGGATAAATCTGCCAAAGGAAGATGGTTGGAAAAAAAATCCAATGAAAAAAAAAACTTTTGTTTTTTAACAATTTTGGGGGGGGGGGGGGGGGGGGAAGTAGAATTGCCTTTTTCTGGTTATCCCCGAGATCGGCTTTCATTTTTTTATCCTATTTTAAAAGAACTCAAAAGAAAGACGAAAAATTTGAAAAATGATTTTTTTCTAGTT